CTTGTAAATCTTTCTTCAATTTTAGCAAATCTTCATTTTCTCCATTTCCAGATAATGCAGCTTCAACTTGCTGGAGCTGAGCTTTGTAGCTTGCCAGCTGCTTTGCTAAATCCTCTGACATCTGGGGAAAATAAAAAGGGTTAGACCACGAAAACTGAACCAAAAATCAAGGCATAAAAAACTAACTTCCCTGTCTGCCTGAATTACCAGTTTTTGCCTCCAACTCCTTCTAACACTGCAGCTTAATTCACCACCGTCACCTTTACTCTCAGTTTAGACTTCACCTAAACCACAAACTTAAAGGCAACAGCTTCCGAAGATTATAAACTTGAGATACAGTCCATACTTTAAAAAAGCATACAGATACAAAGAAATTTCTAATTTTCTTTTAACTCCTATCCACAGGGTAGGTGCTGAGTTCGGCTCAATAATCGTTACCTTTTTAAAAAGCACTACTCTGCTGGGAAAGTCGAAACTTTCAAAAACAATCCAAATACTTACTTTTAAGCACTAAAGTACGCTTCCAAAGTCAAACAAGTACGTTTTTAACTTAACTACACAAACAACTAACTTTACGTGAACTATTCAATAAAGAGTGTATTTAAAAGTGCGTCTCCAGAACAAAAATCTTTCGCCCAGTCGCTTAACTATTTATCGCTGCATTAACTTCAGCAAAAAGAACAGCACAGGTACTCTCCCATTTAGACGTTCTAAGGAATGAGCCTTTCGCCAAATTCAGCTCACTCAGTTTCCTGAAAATAAGACACTAATTAACCCTTTTTGATGGTTTATAAGCAAATGTACGACGTTTCCGAGGACTCTTCTCTCTCGTAAAATTCCCGTCCAACCAAAGGCTGGGAGCCGGAAAAGGCCCCCAAGAGTTACAGCGACCCAGGCTGCTCTCCTCCCCGCCACGCAGCGCCTCAAAGCCCGCCACAACTCGATCATTTGGACCTGGAAATCCAAACGCCAGCTCAGGACCACCGCCTGAGCCCCGCTGTGCTCCAACAGGCAAGCTCCACAAGGAGCCGCGCGGCGCCCAGCCCCACCCGATCCG